TAAAAGGGTTTTCATGGAGCATTTTACCCACTGATCGTTTTAAACACCCTTCTCTTGGTGTAAAATAATGAGGATACTTTATCCATGTAGCTAGAGTAGATCACACAGGTTTTTCCCCAATGACTTTTGTAACAGTTTCATAGTGAAAGGGTTTTGGGTCAGATGAGACTCTGTGGCCAGAAAAGCCTCAACTGGAACCAGGGAGCTCCTATCTCCTCTGGCCCTAGGGATTTACCTGTGACTCTCTCTCCCCCCACCCTTAGGAATCTGCTCCTGGCGCCAAATGTGGTGTGCCAGTGAGATACCTGTGCATCTCTAATGGCCTTAGGGCACTACCCTAAGTTTAGCCTACTTATATATCCCCCATGCCACGTGTCCCCCAGAGAGAAAGCCGGACTCCAGTGGTTGGGGGGCTGTCTTCTCAGAATAAAGGCCCTTTTGTTTTATACTTCTCATTTTTTGGATATAATTCTATCACATAGCTTTAAGTTTTACCTGTTAGCCATCATCTATTTTGAGCTTATTTTTATATATAAGCCCTGAATCTAAGATTTCTTTCTCTATAGATGTCCAATTAATCCAATGATATTTGTTTTTTAAAAAGTTAGCCTTCCTCCATTAAACTGTTTTTGCACTTCTGTCAAAAATCAGTTGGACACACTTGTATGAGTCTATTTCTGGCATCTGTTTTATGTTTGTCCATTGATCTGCAAACTGCACCCCTTGGTAACAGGACTCATTCTTTCAAAATTATTTTAACCATTCCAGTTACAGTTTTTGCACATAAATCACAGAACCTTGTGTAAGCCTATGAAAAATATTCTTTTTCTAATTTTCATAGAAGTTCCTTTAAACCTATGCATCATTTTGGAGAGAACTGTCTTAACACCTATACTGTGTTCAATCTTCCAATCTATGATGAAAGTATGTCTAACCATCTCTTTTGGGCTTCTTTAATTTGTTCCATTAACATTTTTAATTTCAGGATATAGCTCCTGTGCATATTTTGACATATATTTAACTAAAATTTCACTTCTTTGATTCAAGTATAAATTTTCACTTTTTTACTGTCTCAGGATTCCTGTGACTCTTCTCACTTTTATCAGACTATTATCTACATGGTGTAAGTTCTAATATTTTCTCCTCAAGTTTAATGATTCTTTCTTCTTTTATTTCCATTTTCATATTCATTTTTACCTTAGAAGATTTTAATTTTTGTCTATGTTTTTAAGATATAGAACTTTCCATTGTGTCCTTTTAAAAATACAGTATATTTATTTATTGAGATCTATTTTGTCATTTGATTCAAGATATTTCAAAATTTTTATTGAAGTATTTTCTTATGGCTGCTTAAAAATCCATTTCAAATAATTCCAACATTTGATTCATCTCAGTTGTGAAATCAGTTAATTGTATTGTCTCACTCAAGTTGTGGTTTCTCTTGTTCTTGATATGATGTTATTTCTTATTGCAACTGGTAATTTACACATTATTAGCTTCCTTCTACGTATTCTGACACTTTCATGGTGAAAACAAAGTACTGACTCTCCCCATCATTTCTTTAAAGCAATAATGGAGTCTCATCTAACCACTGGGTCCCACTAACACCAAAGATGTAGAGAATGTAGGGTACCATGTAGCCTCATTGTGTTTCCCATGTTTCAATTTCATTTATGGCGGATAGTGAGTGACACTTGCCTTCTCCTTGGTTTTAACCGATACTAGGGGCATAGAGAACCAGAGTGTCTGTTAAATAGACCCACTTGACCTCTACCTTATTCAATCTCATTGCTACTAAGTTACTATGTGAGTAAACTGATAATATAATAATCACTAGAAATACCTCATCATCAGATGAATGCAGAGGTGCAGCTCATCATTTGAACTCATCAGGACACCACTTGATTCTTTCTGGTGGGAGAAAGAAAAGACATATTTGTCCAGCATCATCATTTTTAATCTGCCAAAATAATCAGAATAGGACCTGCTTCCTTGTGGGATGTGGAAGATAGCTCTCTGCTTAGTCTTATCAATACTACACTATCAAAACAGGAATGTTATCTACTTCTAAGTGCCCTGGGTAGTTTATTGATTCCTCCTACTTGAGGATGTTAATTCTCAAACCATGCTCCCTATTTCTAAGCATGACACATTCTGTACTGCAGTCACAACTTTCTGACCATTTGCTACATTTTTTCTTTTTTCTTTCTTTCTTTTTTTTTTTTTTTTGTTTTTGGTGCAGGGATTGAACTCACAACCTTGCGCAAGCCAGGCAGGCGCTTATGCTGCTAGCTAAATTCCTAGCCCTTGTCACACATTTTATATCTATGCATCTTTCTGTGCCATTGTTACAAATGTTGCCTGGTTAGACTGAAAAAAAAAAAAAAAACAGTGCTCTCCAACTTTCTGAATATCTTCTTTATGTTTTTGTAGCCTTCCAAATTGTCTCTGGTGACCTCCCAAACTATAACCAATTACTAACTCCTTTAGGTTCCCAATACTGAATGTGTATTTCTTTACAGCATGTATTATATAATCTGCTTTGTACAGCAGAATTATCAGCATTTATGCCTACCTTCACTATCCCTCCAGTTATAAATTACCACTATATTGCTGACATTTGTATTGAATAATGTCATGTTTATCCAGAAATCAGGCTTCCAGAAGCCTCGACATTTGAAAAGACTGCTTTCAAATTGGTTATACAGAACAGATTCTTGCTACAGTTCTTGATTCACACTCAAGTGTTAACAAAGAGGACTTGAGTGTAAAATAGCACAAAGATTCAGACATAAGATATGAGCCAGATGGTTTTGTGGACAGATATAGCAAGAAAAAAGGGCTTTGTTTCAGAGAATGATTAATTATGGGACTACTTGCCATGTCCCAGTGTATGTGTTAAGAGATTTATGTGGATTTATCTGATTTAATTCTCACAACTATCCCTAAGGTTGTTTTCTTACTATTCACATATTATAGGTTGATGATCAATTTCTCCAGTCTTGTTTGCATCAATATACTCTCCTAATCATTTTCAGATTTATGGATGAATGTACTTACAAGATAAGTGATTCAGGTGTTTTTGAAGCGACAAAACTGTTGTTGGAGGTTCTGAACCATTGACTATATTCTTCAGAGGCTCCTGCGAAACTACTTCTTTTCATTGACAAAGACGTTTTTGCACTGGAGCAGGAAAGTTGAAAACATTTATTTATTTAACAAATGTCTATTCAATATCAACTATGTGTAAAAGTATTAGATATAAGGCAATGAACAAGCTCATGGTTAAATAAGAGATATAAAAAGTAAACATTTACATTAGTGTGATAAGCCCTTTTGAATCCAAGCTGTTGGTGAACGATCTAAACATTAGACAAGAAAGTATATTACAAATTATTTTGCTTCCTGTGTCTGTGAGGCAAAAGCAAGAATTCCTTCAAAATATGTATGAAGTTGCTGCATTTATATGCCCAGGGGAGGCAGCCTTCACCTGTCAAGTTCTTCTACACTGAAAGAGCTCAGTGCATCTTGTTCTACAGAAGTGTTGTAAGGGATATTAATTGTGGAACACAATGGCATGACACTTACATATGGCTTCTGACTGTGCATATGGAGGTTTACATATACCTATGAGATATATAGACAGACAGACAGACAGACAGACAGATAGATAGATAGATAGATCACTATGCAGTTCTAAAAGCTTAGTAATACCTTTTACTATTTATATTTTTTTCTTTTCCTTGTGTCACCATATTGGAAAATAATCCCATCCCAAAGTCCTTGGCCTAATAATAATGAAGACTTGGAAAATCCTCACATTTTTTGCCAAACCAGCTATATAAGACTATGAGAACGAGGCTATTATATCACTGACTTAAAAGGTAATAAAATCTGGAGGCAGCCAGTGTTCCTGCCTTGCAGCTTTCTGCTGATTCCCTTAGTTCCAGGTAAATTAATTGTCTTTTTTACTCATTACAATACAAGGTCATCTCAACAATGCAGGGTAAAAGAATGAGAGTAAGGATCTAGACTCTCTTGGTTTGTATTGCTGTTTTATAAGTGGGATACAATATTAAAGATTTTTGAGAAATTCTTATTTAAATGTCATAGCAATCGTGTGACACTTTTTTCTATATTTCACATTTTCTATAGAAGCAATCAGAAAGATAAGTGTACACACAGTTTTGTCTCTTTCTGCAAAATTGTGTCCATTTTGTTTCAACATTTCAATTTCCAAACATCATTCTTATCTCATATGCAGATCTCCGTGTCAGTAGATATTCTTTAAAAACATAAACAAACCGAATAAATCCATATAAGAAGGTAAAATAGTTTCATTGTTTACTCTTCTCTCAGAGAGTATTTAGCATAAAGGATCATCAAAGGAATAATACAAACAAATAGTATGAAAGCATTATAAGTTCATGGATTTGGAGTATTTAATATTCATAAAATTCTAATGATATAATGAAAAAAAAGCAAGCTGTGTGAGAAATGCATTACCAAATATATAAGGTATAAAACATATCTATTAACAAGGGAAAAATCAGCACCGATAACATTTTCTTCTATGCCTAAATGATTTTAGATTAAGGTTAGTTTCATCTTTCAGTTCATTGAATTTTTGAAAATCTCTATTATGTCAGCGTATTTCTTTTACATTCAAAGTAATTATTAAAAATTATTACCAAAAATGATCAGGTAGAAAATATAAAGAATTTGAATCAAGATGGTGGACTGTGCACGGCCCCCAAATTCCTTAAACTGAAAGAAAATCATTTGTACGTACACTTTTGTTCAAAAATTCTGTCTCTCAGTCTCTATCTTTCTCTGTCTCTCTCTCCCTCTCTCTCTCTCTCTCTCTCTCTCATTGTGTGCTTCAATTTTTTTTTAAAACAGGATTGTGATGAATTCCTGGAAGATAGAAAGCAGATGGAGCCTCTGTGGAGGAGGCTGTTGGGCAGCTGGCAACCAGAGAAGAGGAGGAGGGGAGCGGATCTGTTTGGCTCAGGTTTGAGAGAAACAGTAGGGGGGAGAAAGAGAAAAAGAAGTGAGCCAGTGTCAGAGCCGACTTAACCCAAGCGCGCGCACTGACCCTCCCTGCAGACGCCCGCCCAGCGGAAGGCAAAACGGCAGAGGGCGGGGCCAAGGTACAGGCGGGCTCTGAAGGGGCGGGTTCCCTAATCCGCAAAAACGCGGTTCCAAACTGGCCCAAACCGACTAACGCTGCAAAAGCCAGGCCGCGCTAACTCCTCAGAGACCTGCTGCCTCTTCCTGCACCTTTGCCATTGCAGTTCATTTGCCTACCTTTCAGTCGTCGTCTTCTTTGTCACCGTGCCGCTACCACAGCAGCATCGACGACAGATAAGTGGCGGATTCAGGAATTTGGGGTTGGGAGTCTGGGCAGGCGCCAGGAACCGACAGCACTCACGAGCCCGCCATCTCTCTCTAGCCACCACGGCTGCAGTTTCTCTCCCGGTCCGGAACACCGTTGAGAGGCACACGCTGTCCCAGTGCTTACTGTCAGAATTAGAGCTTTTCTGTCAGTTCTGTGCAAGCGCTTGAAGAAGGATCCAGTCTCTGAGATCGCGAAAAAAATTATAATCTCATTTTGTCAGCTTATTTAAGCAAGCAGTAACTTTGCCTAACACTTCTTTCTTAAGTCCTGAGCATGTCTCCTCCAACAGTGCCTCCCACAGGGATAGATGGCGTGTCTGCATACCTGATGAAGAAAAGGCACACCCACAGGAAGCAGCGGCGCAAGCCCACTTTCCTCACTTGTAGGAACATAGTGGGCTGTCGCATTCAACACGGCTGGAAAGAAGGCAATGAGCCGGTGGAGCAGTGGAAGGGCACCGTACTCGAACAGGTTTCTGTGAAGCCCACACTCTACATCATTAAATATGATGGCAAAGATAGTGTGTATGGATTAGAACTTCACCGAGATAAAAGAGTTTTAGCGCTGGAGATTCTTCCTGAGAGAGTGCCAGCTCCTCGTATTGATTCACGCTTGGCAGATTCCTTGATTGGGAAAGCAGTGGGGCATGTGTTTGAAGGTGAGCACGGTACAAAAGATGAATGGAAGGGTATGGTACTGGCGCGAGCACCCGTGATGGATACTTGGTTTTATATCACCTATGAGAAAGATCCAGTCCTATATATGTACACCTTGCTGGATGACTACAAAGATGGTGACCTTCGTATCATCCCAGATTCCAGCTACTATTTTCCTACAGCAGAACGGGAGCCTGGAGAAGTGATCGACAGCCTCGTGGGCAAGCAGGTGGAGCACGCCAAAGATGATGGGTCCAAGAGAACTGGCATTTTCATTCATCAAGTGGTGGCCAAGCCATCTGTTTACTTTATTAAGTTTGATGACGATATTCACATTTATGTCTATGGTTTGGTGAGAACTCCGTAAGTTTGTTATGCTCTTTACAAAAGTTGTGGAGTTATTAGATGTAAAATATTTCCTGTTCTCATAATTGCACCTTTGAGAACAGTTTTGACTCAAAAATTCAGGAAAGTGGGTAAATGTTATTGTGCCTCAAAATCTTACATTGTCTAGTTCCACAGTTTTGGCCCAATGTACAGTGATAATTTTGATATTTATTCTATAATTGAAATTTTTAATTCGGCGCTGATAGTAAAATAAAGTGCAACCATTGGAACAATGCAAAAGTAAATCAGCCTTGCACTATGTCCTTCTTTCCCCACTTTTTCCTTGCCTCTTTTTCTTCCAAGGTAACAAGTGTCAAAAACATGACTTTTTCTGTCCTCAAGAATTGTTACAGTATTTTCTCTAAAAATGACAAGTTGCAAGTATTTATCTAATTGCTTTTCCCACTTTGCATACAGATAACAGCCTTCCAGGCTAATTAATACAATTATCTGTCTCTACCACTATCTTTCACTCTTATTCTCTTGCTTACTGTTTCATACATAGTATATGTAAGGTGCCAAAAAAGTATTCAACCATCCTGTTACTAATGGTCAGTTATTTCCTTTTTTTTTATTGTAACATTGCCAAAATATACTGGTCCTTTTATTTCTACAGGTTAGATTCTCAGAAATGCTAAATAGGCACATGTTTAATTTTAAGAACTATTATAACAGTACTTGTAATGGATTCAAGTCCCCATTCCAGCATCTTCTACAGCAATCATTAGTGCTTGAAAATCTGAAAGGTGAAGAATTGCATTGCATTCCTTGTCACTTTAGTTGGCTTTTACTAGATTTCAATGAATATTTCTTTTTCTATCAGGACATTTCTCTTTTGTGATTTGACAGTTATTATCATTTGTTCATTGATGTGTTGAATTGTTGATTTTTTTTCCTTATAAATTTGTAGGAATTCCTATTTTAAAGTCCATTTAATTATTTGTAACTCATGTTATTATTTTTTCATTATATCATTACTCTTGACTTTATTGATGATATGTTTTACTTTATAATTTTTAGAAAAAATTTAGATAGACCACTATTTCTTTTATAGTTTTTTCTGTTTTTTGTTGTTTTTTTTTCAGATGGATGTCCCTAACTTGTCAGATAAATATTCACCTACATTTTTCTAATAATTTTACTGTTTTTAAAGTTTAAATGTTTTATCCAAAAAATTCAAATTTCATCTGAAATTTATTGTTACATCATTTAAAATAGAGATCCAACTACACTTTTCTTTTACATTCATTAGCTATCTTATTTGTAACAATTTTCAAATATCTAAACCAGTATGACATAGATATAATTATAGTGGCAAACCATAGATTTTAGAACTAGTAGAGCAAGTCATTAGTATTTTTTAATCATCTAATTTTTCTTGACACTTATTCTTACATATGAAAATTCAGAATATTTTTAGCATTGAAAAAAAGCCTAATGTCTTAACTATAGTTGAAGTACACTTCTGCATTCTCATTTTAAGGAATATTTAATAATATTAACCTTTAACATTCAAGAGTGTTGGTACATTATTGAAAATTTTATTCTCTTTTTAATAATATTCTTCATATCATCTTTACCTGAATTCATTTTGTAAGTATTTTTATACATATCAAATTGTTACATTACAATTTGGACAGCTTTCTTTTCTTCATTTGTAACATTTCGGATAATGAAAGCCACCTAAAGAATTTCATATATTTACCTTTTACCGATTTTTTTTTAATCCTAAATTACAGTAGACTTTTAAAATAGAATATTTTGGATTTTCTAGATATATAATCATTACACATGTAACTAGAGATTATTTTTCTTCTAATATTCATACTGATTTTTATTACATTAGCTGATTTACCCAAAACAGTATTGCATAACAATAATAACGAACATATTTGTCCTATTTTTATTTTTCATATAAATATCCTTAGAATTTCATACTGGTATGATATTTGCTGTTGGTTATTGATAGTCATTAATATGTTTAGAAATTTTTGCTTTTCCTGTTTTAAATAGTATTATTATTATTAGAAGGGGCTCCTGGCTTTTATCAAATGCATTTTTACACCTATTATTAACATATATCATTTTTCATTTTTGAACCAAATATGCATTTTCAAAATAAATTCTACTAGACCATGGTGAAATAATCATTTTTTAAATGGCTAGATTTTATTTACCAATATTAAATTTAGAATTATTTTATTTGCATTCCAAATTGGAATTTTTATGCTCTGTATATCAAGTTTTGTTATTAAACTTATTCTAGCTTTAAAAACTATGACTTGATGAGTTTTCAGTCTTTACCTGTGAACTGAAATAATTTAAATAACATTAGAATTTTTGTTCTTAAAAATTACCTAGTAAGAAGCTATAAAACAGTGTAACCCCAGTGACACTTTTGATTATAGATATTTAATCAGTAATCAAATTTTTTCAGTGGCAATTAGTTTGTTCAAGACTTTGTTAAAAAGAAATATGTATTTTGTGTAAGATACAGAGTTTCAGGTTGTCTGTATTACCAAACTTGTTGATTGTACTATTCAGATGCTATAAGTCTTCATATATTTTATGCTAATTAGATCTGTTCAATTTTGAAAATGTAATAAAATCATGAGTTGCAATGATATTTTAAATTTTTGATATCCTGTTATTCATTTAAAAATCACAACAAAACATAAAAAAGTATAAAATATATGATAAATATCTGTTTAGCTACACTCCAATTTTACAAATGTCAACATTTTGTCATGTGTGCTTTACATATAAAGTTATATTTTCCATAAGCCAATTATCCAGTACCTATCCAGTTTTTTAGTATCATACTTCATCCTCTACAGAGGCAGACAGTGTCATACATTCGTTGTGAGTCAGTTATTTTATATATTTATAAAAATATAACTATAACCAATAATACTATCAATTTTTCTATTTTCAAAAAAACCAACTTGAATAATCAATTTCAAAACATGTGGATTTTATTTTGTGTTACTTTGGAGGTATCCTTTTCTCTCTGATTGAATTGTGATAAGAAAATAATAGCACAGACCTTAAAATGTGAACAACTGTTCACTTTTACTATGCCTGATACCCAAGGTGATTTGCTATTAGCCACATTCTTGAGAACTGAATTAAAAAGAAGAATCTCAATTCATATAGATTTCATATCTTGGCTAGAAGGAGGCATATATGCACCACTTGTCTCTGATTTCTAGTCAGACTCAAACAAGGTATTGTTCTATAATATAATATTCGGGTTATTCTACATTCTGATATCCAGAAGGATGCTAATCTTAGCTCTTTTAAAAATTTGAGATATGGCAGTGGAAAAAGCAAAACAAAAATCTTCCCTTAGACAACAACAAATTATTTCAGAGAGAAAAAGAAATACATATATAGAAGATGTAGTTACAAATATATATATATATATATATATATAGTGAGAGAGAGATACAGATATAAATACACACACGTGTGTGTGTGTGTAATGTTATGGACAAATAATATTACTTTCTAGTTCCTGCTCACAGATTAGGCTCCAAGTCATGAATTGTGTGTTACATTTATTCTTGATATTGAGCCACAGAGTAAAATAAAACCCTCATCAGTGACCTAGGTTCTAGGAAGGATACAATTTTTTTTTACCATATACAAATTGTAGTGCATTAACTTATTACTTATTATTTAATCAATTAATTTATTCATTGATGCTTTTTTACTTGTTAGCTTGGAAATTCATAACATTAAAGGACTTTCTTTTTTAAAAATGACTTTATGGTGTAGTATAGATATGCCTTAACATTATTGGCTAAAGGCAACTTGCTTTTAAAGACTTCTGAATTTGTGTCAAACCAGAATATGATCAATTTAAAAACCCAAAACCAAAATAAACAAAATTTGTTTGAAAGTTTAAAAAATGCCCTATTCTCTTAGAACCTATATAACAATGGATGAATGAGGACAGCTATCACAACTATAGACCACTGGCACTCGGTCCTTATTTTGGTTTATAGCAATTTGGGTATATACAAAAATCTATAGTTTATTGCAATGTTTGACTCTAGTTTTTCCTTGGCTTTAGAAATTTACTACACATCACTGAGCTGTTGAGAAGAATACAGAGAATAACTACATAGAATACTGTGCTCATTGACAATGTTTTTATTCCTAACATTCTCAAATCCTGAATAAGAACCAAGTTATACTGGCCCATGGTGATATTAATATCACACAAGTTAGCTCTGAGTCAGAGGAATTCACTCTTGTCTAGGCAGTGAATAAAAGTGTCAAAATCACTGTTGTCTTGAAATTTTCAGCCCATGGGAGGATACCACCATTCCCTACTCCACTGGACCCTCAGCCTATATTCAGATCTCAAGTTTTAAGATGATACAGTAGTTCTCTAATATTCTGGCACAGAGATCCATTCTAGTGGTTCACACACTACTTTCGGAGGAGAAAATGACCAGAAACAAAGTATCATGCTCCCACATATTAAAACTTTCATCATAATGGTTGAAAATTTATTCCTGTGTTCCTCCACACAGAGTCTCTATATGTATACATCAGACTATGATGACTGCTTTGAAAAACAGCAAAGTATGGTAAGTAAATAGAGGCAGGTTTGGATTTTGGTGGTGCTACTTTACATAACAGACAGTGAAGGCAACATAATTAATTTCATTTGGATGAATACCAGAATAAAGTGAGAGAGAAAAATCCTATTACTGATGCTTTAAGAAAAATTGTGCGAACCTAGAGGTTTCTTGTTTAGAATGAAGTATGGCCAAAATGGAAGTGAGCAACAAAGACTAGAGGAAATGAGGTCAGCTACTTAGTTTGGAGCCAGATTTTTGTACCATCTTATGGACTACTGTTAGGAATTTGGATTTAAATTGGAGTGGGATGGAAGTCACTAGTGTTGAGCAGAAATATGACAATTGTCCTTGTGAAATTTATTGAATAATTTGATTTGAAATGTGTCTTTGATCATATAATAAGTTCATACTTGTGATTGATCAATTTTGTCCCACTGGGCTATGTGCCTGTTTTCCCTTTGAGAGCCCTTGAGGTTACATTATCTCTGATTACCCATGCCCTGGATCTTCCAGGTAGATGATGCTAACTTTTGGCTTTCTTCAGATAAGGAGCTTGGAGAGATAAACTAAAAATGAACATTAATGCTTCCTTAACTGTAAAACTCTACTGAATATGTTTTTTTAAAATTTCCTATCACTGGAGATAAGAAAGCCTCACACATGCTGGGTAATTCTTTTTTTTTTTTTTTTTTTTTTTTATCGGTACCAGGGATCGAACTCATGACTGCCTGCTTTCAAGGCAGGCATTTATGCCACTGAGCTAAATCCCCAGCCCATGCTGGGTAATTCTTTTAAAACAGTTATGTACCCAGCCCTCACTATGTATTCTTGCGTGATGTGTTAAGATTGTTATGAGGTCCAGAAAACTTCAAGTTAGGGAACCTCAGTGTACCACACAAGGGCTGGGAAAGGTCTACCCTCTGAATACAGGCAGACAGGGAGACTAAGTGTGCCCTATGGGGCTTGTGAAAGGCCTACCTAATGGGCCCAGCTAGCCAAAGAGCCTCACTGAGCCATGTGGGGCCAGAGAAAGTCCTGTCCAGAGACCTCCACTCACTCAGGGAGATCCTCTCATGAATAGACAACCAACACCAACTTAGGAAGCAACTGGGACTTTGCATTCAACTATACCAGAGGCATACAGAAAAATGACAAAAATGAGGAGCAAAATGCAGCCTCAAACCTCCAGCCCATTCCAAATAAGTCAAGAGATTTGGACATAGAATAAAGTGGATGTCACACACCTGAATTTTTTGAAATTATAGCAACTGAAATAAACAATTCCATGAAGCAGTAAAGGAAATCAGATCACAGGTAATCTCCAGGTAAACCAAGAAATGATAAACATAATGAAAGAAATGCTTAGCTGAACTAAAGAAGACCTATTTAAAAAACTAGAGGAACACTGGAAAAAGATGAAAACTGAATAAACAACACAGGAAAGAATTAGAATGTGTAAAACAAATTCCAGAGATACCTAGGAAATTAGAAATTCCAACAAAATCTGGGGAAACCACTTGAATGAACATAAAGGTAGATTCAGACCTTGATTAGAAGATTATAGATAGTGATCCTGTAAGGAAAGATATTTTTAAAATCACAATGAATCAGAAATAATAATTTAACAGTTGTAAGAATATGAGTTTGATAGGTGTAAATGAAAAAGGAGTCAAAACATTTGATATAAAAAGACTATTTACAGAAGTAATAGCATAAAAATTCCCAAGTATGAGAAAAGAAACTCACATGCAGATAAGTAAAGCATATAGAACTCCAATTAGGCATAACAAAGATAAATCTACATTCAGACATATAATAATCATGATCCCAGAAATTTAGCATAATAACAAAATATTAAAAACTATTAAAGAAACATATAGCAAAATAAGGAAAGGCCATTAGTATCAGAACAGATTTCTCAACACAAACAATCAAGTCAAGAAGAGCATGGAGTGAAGTATTTCAAGTCATAAAAGAAAACAACTTCCAACCCAGATTGATGTATCCTGAAAAACTATATTTCAAAGTTGATGGATAAATAAGATATTTACATGGCAACAAATGAAGAACCTCATGACCATCAAACCAACTCTACAAAGAATACTGAAAGTTATTCTAGATAAACATAAAAATGACTATGATTTCAAGAACAACAACAGAAAAACAAACAAACAAAACCTACTAGGCAGGGAAAACAAACAGAGGAAAAGGTAAAGAATCAACAGCACAAAGATAACATGACAGAGATAACCCAATGCGTACTAGTTATAAACCATTAATGCAAATGACTTCAAATCACCAATTAAAAGAAACAAACTGACAGAGCGGGTCAATAAACTTTTTCCAGCCCATATGTTGTGTACAAGAAACCCATCTAACTCAAAAGGAAATTCACAACACTTCAAGCAACAGAAATCGGGGAAAACTCATGGGTAGCTATTCTATTTCCAGACAATGGGAACTTCAAACTAAGAGTGATCGAAAGAGACAAAGGTCACTACATACTGGTGAGGGGAACAACTCAGGAGGAAGAGATAACAATCTTAAATATATATGCACCAAATACAGGAGCACACAGCTACATAAGACAAGTATTAATAGACATAAAAATCAAATATGCCATAATAAAATTATAATGAGAGACCTTAACATCTAATTATATCAAAGAGGCATATCAACTAGACAAAAAATAAGCTAAGAAACAACAGAATTGAATTAAACTTGTAAACAAATGGATTTAGCAGATGAGTACAGAATATTCCATCCAAGAACATCAAAATACACATTCCTCTCAGCTGCACAAGGTAGAATTTCTAAAGTAGATCATAATACTAGCCCATAGAACATGCTGAAACAGATTCACAGAGACTACCAGGAAATTAAAAGCTCCATTAAAAGCTGACAAAACTGCTTGAAAGAAATTAAAGATAAGCTATGAAACCTTGAAGACAAGTTTGCAACATGTGATCATGAAAAGAAAGATCTCTTAAAAATTACAGGAACCAGGAAGTAACAATACAAAGTCTAGAAGATGACAA